TTGGGCTCTGCTGTATTTCAACAAAACAAATATAATATAGCCGCGCAGCAGAATTGACTTCCATTAGGAAGACATTCCTTCAGAACAGTTGATGTAATTAGCATTCACATCGAAGGAATCGTTTTCATGAACCTCATTCCCCAAGCGACTGAAAGTCTTTCAACAAGGAAATTAATGTCTGCTTAACAGTGGAAATTAAATCATAATATGTACAGACCTATTTCCTGTAAAATATGTGAAGAAACCCAAGGCTATACTGTCAATACGCCGGTCTCTCTTGAGTTATTATGTAAAATGGTAATTTAGTATTAGATGTTGATGTTTAAATATGGATGAGGAGGTCTCAGGCGATATATCCATTTAACATTTTTTTTTAATACTCAGGGTATAATTAAAGGACATTGTATGATCTTCCCCTTTTACATTAAGTCTTAATGGGAAATTATATGTAATACAAGGAATACATAGATATAAGCTTATCTGTAATGGAGCTATGCAGCCCTCACCACAGAGGTTATCACAGAAATATCTGAGGACGCTACTTGAATAGATGGTCAAACATTTTCAACTTTACAGAACAAGTCCAGCTGAATGTGACTATCTACTTCTAGCTGCTCTGCTAAAATGTTCCACGTAGTATGAGTTTTAGTGTTGCAAGCAGGTCTCATATAAAAGGGGATCCACTCAATTTTGAGGATCTTCTTACAATAGCATAAAGTGAGGCTGTACTCCATTGTAACATATTACAGCTCGGTGGATCTCAACAGCATTGTCGGGATCCATCCCGGTTGAGGCGGTCTCGGTATACCGTGAGCTATATACCTTCCGTGACCCTTAAGAGAACTATGGGGAAAAACGCTTACCCCATAGTTTTCTTTTAAATGCATAGTCCCGTATGATGAACGCACCGTACCGCGCAAGGCACCTACTGTGCGTTAACAGTATGGGAGGTGCATTGCAATGTAATTCATTTAAATCATTGGGCACCCCAAAACTGCCCGCAATGCGCTTGATCACGCTGCAATGCACGGTACTGCAATACCGTGTGTTGCATTTAAAAAAAAGTAGTGCATGCAGCTTACCCGAACTTCCTGTCCAGTACAAGATCATTAAGCAGATCACAGTCTTCAGCACCTGCCCATCTACTAGCTTAGAAAAGGGAGAATGAAGGAGGGAGGAAGAATGGAAGGGGAGCAGGGAGGAGGGTAGCGGCTTGCCTTGCTGTGTCTGTGTTTGTGGAGACACACACAGCTTACTAGCACACACAAGAGTGACTCCGTAGGTGCCACCCTAAAACAGTATATCAGGGCCAGTGCTCAGCGGGACCAGCTGATTCTACAGGAAGCTCAATATTGTAACCATAAAGAAGCAGCATCCATTGTAAGTGATTTGATATAGCTTAAAAACCTTTTGACTTTAATATCACTTTAAGTAATCTTCAAGACAAGCCGGCCAGAACAAAGAGGGTTGACCCTTAGTACCGAGGGCACACAAAGCAATAAAAATGTAACCCTTCTCTAATCTACCCAAAACTTGAAAAATGGCTTTAAATATACTTGAGGATGTAGACAACCAAATTGTCTCATAGACCTCTGAATATTGGAAAAGCACAACAAATGTAGCTTTGGAGGCCATGTCATTAAAATTCCTCAGTGCCACTGTGTAATGCTTTGGTTTTGTGTATGTAAAACTTGGACATTACTTGCCTAGAATAATGAGCGCTTTTCTTTTGAAATACAAACCCAGTCCTTTTCTGTTTAATTTTCTTCCAATTTACCCTCATTCCATGACTTCCTCTCTATAATGGCTTTCTGAAAGGTTATCCATCTGTAATTGCTTGCTCAGGACACACATTGTAAACTGCTCCCTTCATGTGTTACCTGATAATAAGGCTCTGAATACGTGGCTCTGTGTAACCCCTCTGTATAGCTATACTTTGCTGTCTTTAGCCTGATGTGAATTAGGACATATGAAAACAGCAGGAGCACTAGTTTTAGCTGACTAGTAATATGAGTGCTAAATATGCAGACTACAGCATGTAGCTTGTCTAAAAAAAAATAGAACACCTTTTTTTTGTACCTTGAGAAGTTGTGATTAAAAATAGTATTGTTCCCTGCTAAAGCATTTTAGAAGAAGGCGCTAATTATTGAAGCTGTAGGAATAGGGACTTCTCACCTCCTGTCAGCTCTTATTACCAAAGTCCTCAGTGTGCTATAGAGACAGTAAGGATGCAGGTAAATTGCCTGGAATGGGAATTTGGCAGCTCTACCTAATGCCAGAAAGGCTACTGAATGCGACTGTTATGCTTGAATTGTTAGAGAACCTTAGTATTTAAAAAGTGGGGGTTTTTTTTATTTGTAACG